TAATTCTGGGTTTTCTTTGAAGTAATTGTTTTCATGCGTGAAACATGGAAGAGTTGAACTCGTGATGAGAGGATGGTACTTCAAATATCTATTCCCAACGATTTTATTGTTTTAGATGTATGAATATTTACTGGATTCTAAGACATGCTACTTGCTTATTGTTAATTATTAGAAGGATGAACCGAGGGGCCGGCGGGATCTATCATCGCCTAAAATTTTCGAATTCTCATATAGTTTAGATATATTATATCCGGCGGTGGATCTAAAAATTAAGAAATGGGCTCCAAAATTTTATTACTCTATTCTAGAAAATTTTGGGTATGCAAATTTCCCTATTTTTTTCTGTTTCCATTAACAAACTAAACTAAATTTAACATTTTTTCTTAAAATAATGGGTGTGCAATGGCTCGCATCCGCCCCTGATTATATCTATAAATAATCTGTTTTCGTTCACTAAAATTTTATAAGTTCGCACATAGCATAAAATCCTCTATTCGTCCCTGAATGAAGTAATATAATATGATTTGTCTTAGATTCCTTGTCTATTCACAATTAGGGAATGGTTTATCTGAAAAGAAATTGATGACTTTGTTATTATTAGTGCTTGAGTGGTGAAAGTAGCTCCAAAGACAGGAAGGTGATTCATTAGGGCTGTATCCCTTCATGGTAAGAAAAGGGGTTTTTGTTTGTTCGGAATTCGGTTCGATGAAGTGTTGTAATTGAATGAGGGTGGACTAGATTTCAATTGTGCTTCGGTGACCTGAGATTTTGCCTACTTCACATGACAGTATGATGAATATTTTTAATTGTGAAAAGTGTTCTCTGCATTAGTATTGTTCCGTTTTCCCCCACAACTAGAAAGACTGCAATTGAGTTTAGTTAGTTTACTTTTGAATCCCAACTCCTTTTGGCAAATGTTTTTGTATAGAGTTACCAATAGGTGTCGAATCTGATTACTTATTCATGAGAACAAAGTCATGCTAGCCGACACGCAAGATGAACGGCGGATAATTGGCTTATGTTCTCGTTCCTTTGTGTTTGTGGGTCAATGAAAGGCTATTGGTTCTTAAATATATAAGGGTGAACTTGAGAAACCAAGTAAACCAGAGACTGAAAAAAAGAAGAGAGATACTAAAATGTACAGTATTAATCTCCAATCAATTTTAGAAAGAGCTATTAATTGTTGCAACCAAGACATTCTTAATGTGTGATGCTATCATTCTGCATATTTTCCATCTAACTACATTGCAACTGGTTTATTGGCCGTGTCTGGTACTTTTTTTAAGTATTTACGATATTGGTTCTACTGCTTTCAAGTTTTTCTTGCTTTCTGACGCTTTTCAAATTCTTTGCTGTAAAGTAGCTGGCACACTTGGTCGAAGCCCCCGTGAACCAAAATACAAAATTGAGTTCCATTCTGAAGAATCTCCCTACCATCCCGTGAGTAAGAGTAGAATTTTAACACCTTCCGCTCTTCTAGGTTTGATGAAATCTTGATGAACACGTTTAAGTTTGCTTTGCATTCGATCTTAGTTGCTGATTTTACAGTCCACAGATTTGCAGTCTTCGTACAGCATGATGGATTTGTATAATGAACTGTGGTATAGTATCATCTGGAACACGAACGAAACACAATGTTGATCAGATTTAGGATAACACCACTTAATTATTCTTTCACGGCTGCAAATTTCCTTGAGCACGTAAAATTCATAAATAATAACACTTAAAAATCCTGAAATCATTTACATGTTCACCTTAATGTAAGTCGGAACATTTTTATTTTAAAGTTTTCTTCTTAACATGCTCTTATTATTTTCAACTAACGAGTTCAAATATACTAGTATAATTTTTATCTAGAAACATACTTCAGCATAATGATTCATTTTCTATGTTTGAATGCTTGAGAAAGTTTGTATCTTGAAATTGGAGAGAACGCGTCCGAACTAGATTGCAACTTGGTGTCATTTCTATAAAAGATGGTTATTAATGGTATGAGAATAATGAAAATTTCAGCATCTTATTCTCGTCATAATTTTCTGTGTGAATATATTAGTAGTAGGCTGGTTTTCCTTTGATGTGAACCTATCAAGTTCCATCTGGACTCGCCGCTTTTAATGATCTAACATTACAATGCCTGAAACGTTTTGCAGGATGATGATCAGGAGTCTGTTTTTATGCCTAATAAAGATGGACAGAACTTTTTATGTTTCTTGCCGAAGGTGGAAAAGGCCAAGACCTTGAAGCCAGTTACTCAGCAGAACACTAGTAGCATGATTGTGGAGTCCGAGAAACGGGTTAAACTGAAGACACCTGATGAACTGCTGGAAGTACTGAAAGATAGATGCTTTATCAGAGTAAACACCTGGTTGCTACACACTGTTTGTTTGTTGTTCCCTACATCAATGCAAATAATTGAGAAAGGCTTTGTTCTTCCTTGTTTTTATGTGCCACTTAACTCATATCTGGGTTTAGTGCTTATGTTGTGAGCTCTTTTCTTTGCAGCAAGAGGGTTGGTGGTCTTATGAATTTTGCTACCAAAAGCAGTTGCGGCAACTACATGTGGAAGATGAAAAGGTATATCTTTTATTGAATTTAAGTTGCTCATAATTTCATTAGACTTGGGGGTTTTTTTCCCCACTTGTATGAGAGTTTCATCTGTGATTTTTGCTACCACCGGCAGTTTTTATAGTTTCTTAATGGTACATTTTCTATCATTTTGGAATTATTGCAGGTGGTTCAGGAATTTGTCTTGGGTGTATATGATGAAGAGGCCACTGCTGCTTTCAACCAGAATCTCTCCGACATCTCCACATTAAAAGATCCTCGATCAAATGATGCATCACAAAGGTGAGACTTCGTATGGTTTAAAATTTTAGGTTGCACCCAAACTTTGCAGTCTTTATTATAATAAGTATACCTCCTTCGGACCTCCTCGCTGTCACTCCACCTGTCAAAATCTTCAAAGTTCCATATCATCCCGCTAGCTACAACCCCTTAACATGACCATTGACAGGACCACATAATCCGTCAGAACCAAAACTACTATATGACAGTCCTATCTATTTGTCTGCCAGCTTATGGATAACCATCATCACCCTAGACCTGCCACTAGCACTAAGGTTCTGTATATGAATCACCATGCAAGGTTAGAGAAGGAATCTCTCTCGGTTTTTCTATTTGTTCATCATCTTCTTTAACTTATCCATTCTCTGCATCCTTCACAGAATTACCACTCGGGGCACTCCACCCAAACCAGAATGGGTGAACCGTAAAAAACCATCACAACTCCATTTATCCCATTAACAATAATCCTTCAACTTTTACCAAAAAAAAAGTTACAACTTCCAAGTGGAGAAAAGTACAAGATTGTACTGAACTTAAAGAAGGAGAATAAAGAAAAGGACTGTAATGATGCCATGTCTCATTGCAGGTATCACCCTCATCAATATACGAATGGAACCCTATGTGATCTTACTAATAAGCCCCGAGAAACTGAGGTATGAAGCAACAAAGTTACAGTATTGTGAGATGGTTTTTAGAACTCCTTTGGAAGGAAAAGGTCCTGCATTTTTAATCTTAGATTCATTCTCATCTTTTTATGCTTTGTTATTTCTGTTTGTAGGTGAGATTTGTCTGCTCAGAGCCGAGAGCAATGATTAGTTCCATTACAGAGTTATCCACATGCAAGTATGCACTTACTGTTCAAAGCCCTATGCTATGCAAACACCCGTGAGTCTCCCTCTCTCTCCTCCAAATTCTAAATTTAGCACTATTGATGCCAGTTCCTTAGAGCTGATTGTGCCTGTTGGAAAGGTCAAAGATACTGTGCATGTCGTATCTCACCCTGATGGAAAGGTCAAAGATACTGTGCATGTCGTAAATGAGATAATCAGTTTGAGTATTGCTGAGCTCGGCTCAATTTAAAAAGTTGAAGTTGTCAAGCTCGACTAGTCAAAATTAAAAATTGAAGCTCGACTCAAAAAAACTTGAACATAAAACATTCTCAGACTTAACTCGTTTGAAACTTGAACTCGAGCCTAGTTCAAGTTCGAATTCGAACATGAACCTTAACTACAAAAAAAAACCCTTATATTGTATTTAAAAAAAATAACAAATGAATGTCTATATTATTAATAATTTGTTTTTAAAAAATAAAATTTTAATATATTATTCTTTTCAAGTTGCTCGCGAACATTTCGAGTCGAGTATGAAATAGTTCACTTCAACTCGTTAAGAACTTGAGTTGAGTCCATTCAAATCAAGTGCTGATTGAACTTTTATTGAGTCCAATTCGAATAACTTCTGATCTGTTTTGTCTCATTTACGGCCTTAGCCGCCTATAGAAAATGGATCGTTGTATAATATTTCTAATGCCACCACTTATTATTATTTTTTACATTTTTTAGTGTTTATTTATTTAACTAAAAGATTGTGATTACTATCCCTTATTTTGTAGGTTATTCCAAGAGGAGAGACCTGTGTGGCACACCATTAACTGCAATGCCCTTCCAAAGGATACCAAGGTTGAGGACACACGTATTAGCATGACCATGGACTCTGAAGAACAATCTAACAATTATGATTCAAGCGAATGAATGTTGTCAATCTTCTTACACTTAATCATAGATTTATAGATAATTAGCCTTGTCAAACTATAATATATTATACTTAAGGTTTAAGTTTGAGTTTCAATCGAGTTAAGTCTGAGAATATCAAATTTAAGATTCAAGTTTGAGCTTCAATCGAGTTAAATTTGAGAATATCAAATTTAAGTTTTTTTGAACTTGAGTTGAGTTTAAAAATTTTAAACTCGTAAGTTTTTTTAGTGGAGTCAAACTTCAATTATTTTTTCTTTCAAACTTGAGTTGAACTTGATAATTTTAAGCTCGAGTTTTCAAAGACTCAACTCACTTACAACCTATATCAACATACATTTATGCAGACAGGTACAAATAACAAGCACGCAACGCGTTCATGAACGCTATCTGGGCATTTGTGAACTGATAATTAAGGATAAAAGGATTCAAATGTGAAATTACAAGCCTTTTGTAGTTGTAGAAAGAGCTATTCTGTTTTTTTTTTTTCGTTCTAAATCATAAAACTAAAATTATTGGCATTTACTACTGTACAGAGGCCTGTATCAGTGGGTGCATCCTCTTCACAGATGTGTACTAGTAATTTGTTCAGAATTATTTTTCACATCCCGAAGACTGAGCTTCCTTGCTATCCGTTGAGGCCAAAATAGTCAAATACTCCTGTATTGCTTCACCTTCCTTTGTGACTTCAATGTCATAGTCCGATAACGCATCGGCACCTTCTATGTCTCTTGCAAGTTCATCTTCCATCTCCACGTCCCGTTCTTCATCTGCAGCAGTTGACGTGCCTTCAGCACTGTCATTGGTACTCGCAATATCAGGATTCAAGATGCTGTAAGCATCAACACCAGGGAGTGGTGGCTGAAATCCTGATAGCAGTCGACTCAATGTTTGCTCCATAGTTTCATCAGACTGAATGGCAGCAACGGCAGCAGCCACTGAACCCGGGAAAATATCAAAATGTTACTAAAAAATCGTTATCAAGTTTATGGGCCTCAAGTTACTAGAATATCTAACATGGCAACAGTGTAATCTTAGATCATAAAGTGAAAAACAACTATGAAAATATAAGTACAGCAGTTGAGAACTATTTCCTTATTACCTATAGATCTGTCAAATCCCATGGATACAAGCTCTTCAATTCTAGCATTTGCAGCTCGTTCCTTTCGTTTCCTTTTCCTTAATTCAATATCAAGCTGACGACAAACATAGTCAATGAAAGACGCATGGCCAATAAAATTAAATTTAGGAAAACTCCATGCAAAAAAAAAAAAAGTCAACCTGGATGGTAGAATTAGTTTCTGGATTGGTCAGATCATCCAATGCCTTTTGAAAATCATTCTCGTTCCTTCGAAGGGCTTCAGCAGCAAGTTTCTTCTCAAATCTGCCAAATAAAATAATATCTTAGCCTTTCCAATAAAAGAAAAAGAAAATAAAAGAAAGGAGAAAGTTAAGCTTTTTGTGGAAGGTACAAAGCCAAAATGAATGAACTGTCCTTATCTCCATTTTACTTTCATTAGTCATTACTATGAAGAAACTTGAACTTTTGACGCCAACAAGTATACACCAAAATAATAGTCACAGGAGTACACTGCTCACCCAATAGCCACTAATTCTTTCAATTTGTCAAGATTCACAGCTTTCTTCAATGGTGTTACTCCATATTGCTTCAGCTCCCTGAAAATTTGTTACATTATTTTATTAGTACACAAAAGAAAACGACAATTAAAACAGAAATTAATCATATCATGCTCACATGATTTCCTCTTTGTGCCTGATATCATCCTCTCGCTTTTGTGCTCTCTTTGCTTTTTCCTCGAAAAGAAAATCAACAGCTCTCCCCATATCTTGATTGTTCAATCGTAATGCCCTCCTTGCATCATGTTCCTTAAATCCCATGCTCATAACATGAGATAAGGCTTCGTCAGACACTTGTAACTGATATCAACACAAAAAAAATAAGGCTTAATGTTGGAAAAGGATGCAAATAAACTATGGTTGAGAAAATAATACTGGAAAAAACAAAGGAAATGGCAAGCAAATTACGAATCCAGTCATAGAATTCATGGTTCCCATTTTATCCACTTATTGAAGCCAAACATAAACCTGTGCTCAAAGGATAGATACAGATACTCTGACAAGGGTAGTTTGAGATGAGAGGCACAGTGGTAGTCCCCCAAGACAAACCCAATCAACTCAGAAAAGAGGGAAGAGTGTCAATGATCTCCCCTTTACGATAAAACCATCAAATAAAAATGAACAACCGGAACAAGATATCTGAAAAGAGAGCTAGCTGTTTTGAACAATAAGTAAAGAAACCTTTGAGAATTTTGCTTGTGCAGATGTCAGTGCCATTTTAGATTTATGGAACTGACCATTATGGTATGCCACCACTCCTTCCAACAACTCCAACCTCATGTGTCTACAAAAATAGAGTGCAAAAGAGATTAGTTAAACATTGCAACCAACAGCATTCTAATTCACGACCAGAAACACAAAAATAGAGCCACTGAAGTAATTTTCTGAAAGGACTCACAATGCAAGCTCTGGCTGGCAACCAGCTTGAAGGAGTCTAACACGGGAAAAATCCTTCCCATGACAACGTTCAAGTCCTTCTCTGGATTTTTCAAGGCGTATCCCTGCTACTGAAAGCCAACTAATGTCTCGAAGCAAGAAATAGCACCACACCATGTCTATTTGCAGTATTGGTACATTGTCAATGAACTGAAATAAAAAACATACATTCAAAGTGGGGAGGATATTGAGTCGAATCTAAAGAACAAGCCCGCAATCATTCAATACCATATGCATGCTCACAAATATATAGGGTTAACTAAAAGCTAAAGCAACTTTTATTTGTATCTATAGACAGAAAACTGAATCACAGCATGGATTAAGTTATTCAGAAAATGAATCTTCTTCAATTCTAAGAAAGAAAGTCTTACCTCAAGGACCTTGGGATCACAAAGTGAGAAAGCCTCCTACAAGAAAGAATAAGGTACAAACTATGTCATATAACTTCATTATCAGCTTCGCTAACAAGCTATGTCGTATCTAGGCATGTGAATAGAGATACAACCCTCCACATATATGGAAAAACTTGAGAAAAATTTATTATATCGATGTACATGTATTAGTATTCGACACCCATACTCATTCCCCAAATCCAATTAACATTCCAGACAAGAAAGTTCATCAGCTGCTATTCTAAGAATCCAGATGCAAACAAGAAAAAACAGTGTTGAAGCAAATATGAGAGGATGTTCGCAACTAACCTCCCCCATGGTAAGCACTTCCAATGCATCTTTATACAGTTGTCTCCTAAGTAGATTCTTTGCATTTTCATGAAGCATCAAACCCATCATCACTGCCCTGTTCGAAGACATTCATATCTTACTTTAGTAATAAATGGGGCCAACAGTCTTAGTACCATAGTATTAACTATTAAATTGCGGCTGCAACGCTACGATTTTCAAGGTCACTACAACACCGCAAACAATATCCGAAACATAATAACGTAGTTATTTTAGGAAATAAATCATGTCGTAACGTCCACAACATCACGACCCGGCAGCCACAAGGGCAACCGCAATTTAGTACTATGCTTAGTACCCTAGGAGAAAATGTTATACCGCTGATCAGTCTCGGTTCCTAGTTGCACTTTTTGTCCTCCCTGGTTTTCAAGTTCAATATTGAAGTCTTCAACTGGCAACGAACCATCTACGTGTCTCTGGGAAAGTGCAGTGGCAGCTGCCCTGCCAATAGAGATAACCATGGATTATTAACTGGGTAGTTCTCTTTTCATTCAACATGTCCCTAACCCTAAAGATCATAATTTTCCCCATTACAAGAATAAATTCATTAACTTTGATCAAGCCCCATAATTTCAATAAAACGAAGAACCCCAATCAACCATCAAGAAGAGCACCCAGCTTCAATAAAAATCAAGTACAGAGTTGACTCACTTGACTCGAGCAAGTCTACGAGAGCGCTCTTCCTCGGCCATCAGCTCTTGTTTCAAGGACTTGCCTTCATCGACGGAGACACGGCTGGCCAGAATCTTGGAATTGTTTCTGATACCCAATTGGCTTAACTTCTGGGACCCATCGCCGTCCTTCAAAACTTTACCGGCGGAAATGAGGTTGATGGAGTCGGGGCGAAGGCCGTTCGATCGCTTGGCTACCTCCTCCCTCAACATTGCCACCGTCCAATTCTCCAATTCTAACTCTAAAACGCCCACCCATGTCCCTCCGATTCTCAATTTCGCCATACCCAGATGATCAAAAGAGTAAAAACTTTATATTTCTTTTTCCTGAAAGGGCTAAGACTTCCCCAGTGAGGTCGGAACGTCCCAAGTATATATAGCCTTGAAAGAAGAAGAAAATATTTTGGGGTAACTTCGCCACCAAGTTTTGCATTATCTCCCCAATTATTACTGTATATTAATTATTAAGGTAAATTATGTATTTAATTATTTAATTATCATTTTTATTTTGTTTTGGTCACTAAACTAGTTTTTATAAATTCAAAGTAATTTAAATTTAATTTTTTAATTTACCCATTTTTCTTATAAATTTTACTGGGTAAATTACGTATTTAGTAATTAAACTATTAGTTTTGATCTATTTTAGTACCTAAACTTTCAACTTTTTTCAAAATTATATCTAACGTTTAGTTTTCATTTTATTTTAGTACCATTCGTTAAACACTTAACGCGTTTAATACCTAAACTATCAGTTTTAGTCCGTTTTAAGACCTAAACTTTCAAACTTTTTCTTAAACTTAACATTAAATTTTGAACGAGATACTAAAATGAAACAAAAACTAAAGTTGTTAATGGGGAGTACTAAAATGAAACAAAATAGAACTTTAGGTATAGTTTTAAAAAAAATTAAAAGTTCAGATACTAAAACATATCAAAACTTATAGTTTATATACTAAATGCGTAATTTATCCTAAATTTTATTTTACATTGAAGAAGAACATCCTATGGACCGAGGCATGCGACGCCGGCGAAAGAAATCTATGTTTTCGGAAAAGTTTAGGTTGAAGAAAACATATTAAAAAAATGGGTAAACGAAAAGGTTATTCTTAAACTACTTTAGATTTTAGATTTATAAAAGGCTAATAATTAATATTTTATTTAAAATTCAGGAATCAATCTTTTCATTAACGTACCACGTCATTAATTTAAAGACATGTAAAGTTACAGTGACTAAAATTTAATAAAATGATAATATAAATGATCAAAATCTAATAGATAAAAGTATATGGAAAAAAGATAAATGATCGTTTCTGTAATTTACCCAAGTTTTTCTTTGGCAGCACGCGTCCTAGTATTTGAGGAACCCTAGAGGGATATGAAGTCTCATTGAAGTTATCAGAGTCTTGATAAAAGTTTTATTCGAGTAGATTTTGAAAAATTAAAAGACTTTATCCTAATACACTCTTCTAGTTAAAGTATCATCACAAATTACTTTTAAATTATCAATTACTCTTTTAATATCATTGTTTATAAAGTCTTGTTTGATATAAATTTATCGGGTGATCTCGACGGTTATGAGATTATTGTTCTTCTTAATATTATTGTTTATAAAGTCTTGTTGGACATAAATTTATCGGGTGATCTCGACGGTTATGGGATTATTGTTCTTCTTAGAGTTTTGGGTTTGAGTAGATGCTTTCTAACAGAGTGTTAAAGTTAAATTTATGCACGAATCAACTTACCTCAATAGTTAAAGAAATTGTTGATGTTCTTAGAGGTCACAGATTCGAGCATCAACGATTGCAGAGCGTTTATTATCAAATGGTTGAACGAGTATTTAGAACATATACTACTTTGTAATTATCTTAGCTTAATAAAAAAATTAAATTTATAATTTAACAATGTAATTAAATTTTGATTCATAACTCGTAAATAATTCTCTTAATCTCCACACCATTTAACAAAATCAAAATAGGAGAAATCTGACAGTAACTTCAGTCCATTTATGCGAGACAAAAAAAAGATCTCAAAATGGGCATAGTTAAATTCATTCATCGAAATGGTTAGTTCCCAAGTCGATCAATGGCTCACATATAAAAAAAATAGGATAGAGTACAAAAAAAAATGTCCTCCGATTATAAGATATTTCTCTGTTAAGTCTATTGATTATTAAAAGTTACACAATGGTCCTTAAATTATATGACAATGTCTTGTTGAGTCCCTCGACTATTATAAAATACAAAATGATCACCTAGCTATTCATATGTTTCAAACTTGTCATTTTCATTAAAAAAAATGGTGGCCATATAAATTTGTATTTTTATCATATCCCAGTGCTTGAAACATATGTCGTTGAGCCAGTGCCATTGAGTTAGTGCTTGAAGCGTTATGTCACTGAGTCAGTGCTTGAAGCGTTATGTCACTGAGCCAGTGCTTGAAAAATTGGTGGTCATCTGAGTTATATTTTATCATATCCTTTTCCTTTTGAGGTGTATTTTGTGGGTTGAGGCTAACTCTCTATTTACATTATGTCATTGAGTTAATGCTTGAAATACTATGTCTTGGAGTCAGTGCTTGAAGGCAACGACAGTGACAATGGACATCATCGAAATATGATTTTATCATATCTCAGTCAACAGATTAACGACCAATTCAATCGGCCGTTAAGTTTGTTAACGAAAAAGGACGAGTTTGAAACATATGAATAGTCAATCATTTTGTAATATTTAATAGTTGAATGACTCAACAAAGTAATACCCTATATTAGAAGGACCATTTATATATTTTATCCTGAAAATAGTAAAACTATAATGTATACAAATTTTATTAATTTTTATAAGTGTTTCAATATATTATTTTTAATTTATTCTTATTGAACGATTGATATTAGGTTCATATGTTACATTTTATAGAAACGAGTGATATTAATCTCGTATCGGGAAAAGAAGAAGATAGATCTTGAAGTTTAAAAGTGGTGACATTACATATTCTATTAAACATATTTTTCAGGAATAGAATAGTGATTATTTGAGAAGTGATTTCATGTCGATCATCTTAATAGATGAGATAAGTAAGGTGGATAATCATGATAAGAGCATCACGGGATTAAATGAGAAAGAATGTTAATCTCGTATCAGAAAAAGAAGAAGATAGGTCTTGAAGTTTAAAAGTGGTGGCATTGCATATCTTATTAAACATATTTTTTAGGAATAGAGTAATGAATCTTTGAGAAGTGATTTCATGATAAGAGCATCACGGGATTAAATGAGAAAGAATATTAAACTCGTATCAGAAAAAGAAGAAGATGGGTCCTGAAGTTTAAAAGTGGTGACATTGCATATCCTATTAAATATATATTTTCAGGAATAAAGTAATGACTATTTGAGAAGTGATTTCAAGTCGATCATGTTAATAAATGGGATAAGTAAGGTGGATAATCACGATAAGAGCATCACGGGATTAAATGAGAAAGAATGTTAATCTCGTATCAGAAAAAGAAGAAGATAGAACTTGAAGTTTAAAAGTGGTGGTATTGCATATTTTATTAAACATATTTTTCAGGAATAAAGTAATAACTCTTAGAGAAGTGATTTCAAATCGATCATCTTAATAGATGGGATAACTAAGGTGGATAAACATGATAAGAGCATCAGGAGATTAAATGAGAAATAATATTAATCTCGTATCGGAAAAAGAAGAAGATAGATCTTGAAGTTTAAAAGTGGTGGCATTGCATATTCTATTAAACATATTTTTCAGGAATAGAATTGTGATTGTTTGAGAAGTGATTTCATGTCGATCATCTTCATAGATGAGATAAGTAAGGTGGATAACCATGATAAGAGCATCACAAGATTAAATGAGAAAGAATATTAATCTCGTATCAGAAAAAGAAGAAGATAGGTCTTGAAGTTTAAAAGCGGCGGCATTGCATATTCTATTAAACATATTTTTCAGGAATAGAGTAATGACTATTTGAGAAGTGATTTCAAGTCGATCATCTAAATAGATGGGATAAATAAAGTGGATAATCACGATAAAAGCATCACGAGATCAAATGAAAAAGAATATTACGACTTTAATAACAATATCTTTTTAGCTCATCTTCTTTATTCAAGTGTACTAATATAAAATTAATATATTAATTATAAATAATACTAGTGAAATCATTTCTAAAATAATACTAGTTTGTACCAAAACACAATAAAATTGTTTTAATTTATTCTTTCAATCAAGGCTAAAATTTCTATTTTGCAACAATATTCCAATACCATGAAATGATATATTTTTTATTATCTGCCATGAAATATATACGACAGGCCATGGATGATTAATTAGCAACATCAGCCATTGATGTTCAAGATCATTTTGTTGCACGACTCCTCAGGCAAGACAACATTCCCTTATGCTCTGTTTTAAGCTGAGAGTCATCCCTTTCCCTCCGCTCCACCACTCGAACAAACTCGTCCGAGCTTAGGCTCCCGTCACGATTCGAATCGAGCAAATGGAATAATATGTTCACCACGTTATCGGTTAACGATACTTCACATACCTTTAACAACAACATGCAACATTAGTGTATACGATATCGAAAATATACTCATATTTGACACTCACCTCGATCCGAAAATCGAAAATAGCTAAGCAATACGTACTTGGGATGCAGCTCTTTGGAAATCCATTTTGGATAGCACCCCCCCCCCCCCACTTACTTTCCCATAGCTGAAAATGGCTAGAGAAAAGGATCGCAACTTCTTCCGTAAGTGAGCGAAGTTTTTGAACTCTTCGAATGAATTCCAAACATCTTTGAGACTCGATTCGTTCGATATTTCATCGACTCGATCGAGCAACTTGCTTATGTCGCTGATATCGGCGGCGACCACAACGAAAATGCAAAATCTTTAGTCGATATTGTTCCATGCAGCTTGTAGTCGTAATGTGCAAACTCCAACCTCAGGATCTACAAAATCGAAACATGGTGATCATTTTCTTCCTGAATGTTAATTTGAAGTTATCTTGTATGGAACACACACTTCATGGTGTAAAGTCCAGATATATCCTTAGGTAGTGCACGAGTGTAACACCCTCAACCCGTACCCGACCCGGATACGAGTTCGAGATGTCACATTGACTTTTTAAAATAATCTTCTTAACAAAATAATAAAACATTTGGACTTATATAATTAAAATATGATAATATACATAGGTTTATACAAAGTTCATCAAAATGTTTAGAGCATACTCAACTTAACAGTTTGATTACATATCAACATTCATTTACATAACAAAATGACCTACTGATTAAGTTGCTTCTGATATGATAGTTGCAGGAGTAATATTGTCCATCTGCTTAATCTGTCTTGTCTACTTTCTCAGATCCTACGTGTGAAACACTTACACGCTAAGTCATCGACTTAGTAGGGCAATGTAATAATAACAAGGAAATATAATGAAAATGCCATAATGAGATGGAATGTAATGAAATCATGTACTTAGTCAATGCAGTTTATATCGCCATGTTCCTTACCCAAAAGCATATTAAATTAACATTCATGAATTCCTATTAATTAGTTTATTGGCCCATTATACCATACTGAGAACCTAAGGTATGTGAGTATTGTGAGGTTGTGCAGTATGATGTCACCACAACTCGAATAAATACACCAAAGTACCACGTAGAATTGCACCGAAGTGCCACGTAGAATTGCACCGAAGTGCCACGTAGAATTGCACCGAAGTGTCGTGTAGAATTTCACAATAGTGCCATATAAGATGTCCCAAAGGACCACGTAGAAAATTCCTTAAGAATCATATACATATGCTAAGGACCAAATATGTGTCTCAAAAGAGCTCATACATGTTCCAAAGAATACATATATGTCCTGAAGGACCGCGTAGACCCTCTACTCTTGGCATGCCAACTATACCTATATTTTTTATCTACATAGCATGGGTTTTTCTCAACTTACATAGTATATCACATAGACATGTCAATTCCTTACCTTCATCACATAGCTCGTATAACTTTGCATACATATTCATTTAAAACATACTACACAATGCACATAGTATGAATTCCTATTACGTTTCATAATATGAAATGAATCATGCATCAATGTATTGAATCTAGACTTATCACAAGTCTAGAACTGGATACATTACGATAATCATGTTATGCATAAGCACTCACCTATATTTCTTTGCTTTTCCCTCAATCGGTCTTATTGGGCAATTGTTCTGGAACTTGTTTAGGCTCTGTATCTACATAAATATAATTTTCAAGATGATTATCAGATGCTTAAACCATGCAATTTGCTTCTAACTTAAACAAATTTTATAAATCAATATTCTATTTTTCCTTTAGGGATATCGATACACCCCTTGAGGTATCGGTACCCTTACTGCATTCTGTTAGTTTTTCATTCAAGAGGGTATCAGTACCTAACTGGGGTATCAGTACCCTCATTACATTCTGTGATTCTTTTCGTTTGAGAGGGTATCGGTACCTATTGAATGGGTACTGATACCCCTAGCCTATAAATCACATTTTTATGCACGAGAATTCTTCATTTCCAACTCAACACTTCCTACTTCCTTCCTTTACATATTCTTAGTTCATCTATATGTTATTAAAACCCATTTCTACTCAATAATAACTTCTTTAACCTCTAAATTGAATCATTTATATGTAATCCAAGAATTACACTTACTTTGAAACATGTTCTAAATTTAATTCTAACACCTCATACTTCTTAATTAGCTTGATGACAAGTCAAATCCAACTTCTAATTCTTATTATAAACATTATTCCAAGATTTCATTCAATAACTCCTAACTTTTAATCTCCCCTAACTTCATCATCCTTTGATTTTAAGATAACCTAAACTTTCCTTAAGCTTAGTTGTCATCTAATGATCAATAAGCAACCTTAAATTCATCAAGAATTTAATCAACAAAAAAACTCACCTTTAGTTTGGCTTCACGGTGGATAAGAAGAATGATGAATAAGAGAAATCTAGAAACTTTGGTTCTCCCCAATAGCTTTCCACGTGGGTATAAAAATATCCTCAACTAATATTTAATTATTTCCCTTGTTAAAAAACTCATTTGCCCTTTTAGTTCCTCATTCTTTGCTAATTGATCCTACATAAAACATTTCAATCAAGTCCTTGAACTTTTCAATTTATCCAATTTGGTCACTGAATTTTAAATCTCATAATTTAATCATTAACCTAGTATGGAGGATGTTACAAATCTCCCCCTTAAGAAAATTCATCCTTGAATTTTCATTGCACAAACAGATGGGGGTATTGAAGTCGCATATCCTCTTCACGTTCCCATGTTGCCTCCTCTACTTTGTAATTTCTCCAAAGAACTTTGACCAACATAACCGTTTTCTTTCTCAATTGTTTGACTTCTCAAGACACTATTTGTATTGGTTCCTCTTTATAGGTCAAATCAGGTTGAATTTCTACTTGTTCTGGTGCAACGATGTGAGAGGGGTCGAACTTATATCTTCGTAACATGGACACATGGAAGACGTTATAGATTTTCTCCATTTTCGGTGGCAAAGATAATTGATATGCCACTGGTCCTATTCTCTTAACAACTTCATATGGCCTGATGAATCTAGGACTTAACTTTCTTTTTTGACCAAATCGTAATACTTTCTTCCATGGAGATACCTTCAGAAACACTTTATCTCCAATTTCAAATTCAATCTCTTTTTTTTAAGGTCAGAATATGACTTTTGCCGATCAAATGCTACTTTAAGATTATGTTGAATTTCCCAAACTTTCTCTTCCACATCTTGAATCAAATTCAGACCAAGCATGCTTCGATCTTTGAGCTTATACCAGTTTAATGGCGTACGACATTTCCTCCCATATAACACCTCATAGAGTGCCATCTTAATACTGGACTAATAACTATTGTTGTAAGCGAACTCTGCCAGTGGTAAATATTTTTCCCACGACCCTTTGAACTCAATAACAGATGTTCTCAACATATATTCCAAGAACTAAATAGTCATTTTTTATTGTCCGTCAGTCTGAGGATGAAAAGACGTACTAAAGTTTAAGCGAGTTCCCAAAGCTCCATGTAGGGATTTCTAAAATCTTGAAGTGAATCGAGGGTCTCTATCAGAAACTATAGAAACAGGTACTCCATGCAATCTAATAATTTCTCTAATATACAGTTCCTACATAAAAACATTTCAATCAAGTCCTTAAAGCACTAACCCGATATAGAGGATGTTACAGCGAGGCACTTAAAGCTAACTAGCTTGGGCACAAGGTCTGACACTCAAGGAGTGGGCTAGTCGAGGGGGTTGACCGATGCAGAGATCCTGGGTAACCATCCTCGGTAGACTAGAGGGGTATGTGAGCTCCGAGATGCAGAACTCTTAGTCGCACCATGATGTCTACCATAGAGTAGAGAGTGCAATATACGAGTATACTCACTACTGTAATTATCAGTTAGCTTGAGCATGACATGAACACTTTTAGTATGACTTAGTTGTTAGTGTGGCACTGGGATAGTTAACTCAGTGTTTGGAATTTGTTTCCTTACGCAGGTTAGTCGAGGAGCAGTCCGAGGACTTTTTGACAACAGTGATTCAGACCCAGATAGTGCAGAGTACGTCTCGAGTTCATCTTTAGAGGGTATGTATAATTGTAAACCCCGATTTATATATTTTTGTATGAGTCATAACTCATTTTAAACTATGGTTTGTATGACTTAATATTATTTTAGAAGCTCATAATATAAACTATTTTATTTAAATTGTAATTGATTTATTTTAGCATGAGTGATTATAAATAGTCATTTTTTAAAAACAAAATAGAAAAAAAAAAATTGTTAACCACTTTGGTGGTTTCGTGTGGTATTCTGATCGGTCGACTATGTGTCGTATTGGTTTAGGGTGTTACATTTAGTGATATCAGAGCGTCAGGTTTGACGTTTCTAGGGCTCGTGGGTCAGTGTTGGTAATAGAGTTTATGGGTATACATGCCCTAAAGAGTTATGTCGTACTTCTGCATGCTATAGTAGAGAGCTCAAGCCACAATAGAGAGGGTAGACTTGAGATTATAGTTTTCCTAATTCTTATCCTAGCGATGAGAGTTCCAAGAATAATTTCGATGGCTTAAGTTAGAAAGAAAAATGAGATTAAGATAGTAGAGTTTAATGAGAAGTCAAGAGTTTAAGGATCGTACTGGCCATTAGGGCACAAGAGAATTTCTCTAGAGAAAGTTTCGTGGAAGAACCATGAGGTCAATGAAGCAATTAGTTAGCATATATGGGTATTAGATCAAAGTTGCATAGTAGAAGCCTAGAGGTCGACTTTAGTAAAAGAGTTGGCAAGTGTCATAAGGTCTCAGAGTTGTCTAAACCCAGTGGATAGAAGAGGTTATCAGGTTGTGTTGTAAGTTAACCCGAATAAGTAAGGATAGTAAGGAAAAAATTTAGTGTTAGCAGTGAGTTGTGGAGTTCCATAAGGATTCCCAGTTAAAGATAGAGAAAGTTTTAGCAGATGATCTTAAGATAGGGGTTTGAGTTTCTAGCCCTTTGAGTTAGATGTTCTAGCAGTCAAGATATGTCGTAGATGCCCAATAGAGTTTCAGAGTGAGACCTTTCTCTAGGGAAATTTCGGGGATAAAATTTCTTGTAGGAGGGGAGAGTTGTAATGCCCCGAAACTCGGGTCAGTAGTTTGGGTCAACTATAGACTTGTAAGTCAAGCCAA